ATTATTATTATTCCCGAACAGAGAACCAGAGGACGGTTCTGCTTCGTCACTTAGCAAATAGCAACACATGGGCCTACTAGGCTGGTGAAGCTAGTCTTGGACAGCGACAAACTAAACGTTTACTGTGCCATCTCACTTGTCAAAATTTGGTGTCGACACGACAGCGAATGAATGAAATGACGCGGGAAGCACATTTCTCCCATTTCCACTCCTCTCCTCTTCCTCTCCCCAACGTGCCGGCCTCTCTCTTCTCTGTCTTCCTCACCTTTTCTTCTACCCATTTTCATTCTATTTCTGTTCTAACACCAAATCCCAATCACTCTATGTTCCTTCTTCAACCATAGCTCTAAGAGTATGGCTTCCAGCTCTGCTTTCAGATCGTCGAGAACGCACCAGAGACAAGTCCCCGCTACTCACTCTCATGGATATTCTTCTTCTTCTTCGCATGCCACTTCAAATTTGAATTCAACACTACTGCTCATGGGCAAATCCCGCCGCAGCCTGCTCGATCTAGAACTCCTTCTGCTTCTCCCAGGCGGATTCTCGCTCCGAGTAATCATACTGCTCGTTTTGGATGATGATGAACAAGGTGATCCCGAGTTCATTTGAACGATATTGTTTGAAAGCCTACTTCGTTTAAAGTTTCTGTTTTTATTTCCTGCCATCTTCTTTTTGTTCTATGGGGGGTGTTCGATAAGGGTAAGTAGCTCCAATGCCATGCTGGGTTGGACACCAATGGAATTCTGTTTTGGCGCAGATTTTTATTGTAATGTGTTCTTTCTTGTATGGTACGGTTACACTTCGAACCTAATTGCCATTATTAGGTTATAATGGCAATAAGTATTTTCTTTCTTTGTTTTTTTGGGTGTTATCTTTATGGGCCTTACTATATTAATCAGAAGTCCTATTTGCTTTCCTCTATCAAAAAGAAAGATTTAAGTGCCTTTATTATTTCTGTATTGTTATATTTAGAAAGATTTAGGCGCCTTGTGGACCCAAGTGTTTTAGAGTGTTAAGGTCATTGACCAGTTGACCACTTCAATCAAAAGGTTAAGCTAAAGTGAATGGCCATTGGTAGTTTTATTACTATCACTACTGACCTCTTCACTCAAAAGCCCTCTAGTATCAAGGAGTTCATAAAACATGGGCCACCTTATGGTGAAACCACATTAAAATATGAAGAGTGTAAGCAGAAGAAGTTCCATATGTGTCTTGGTCATGGAGGCTTTGCAACCATGTTACTGATCACTATAGTCTTTTAACTCAAAAGTTGAAGTTGCCAAGTGAAGTCCATGAATATTGTCTTATTATAATTTCCTCCTTATGGATTCTTCCTTTTGGTTTTAATATGCTAACGAGTCATTGTATTCAATTTTAGAAATCAATGTAATCATTAATTATCTGGGGTAAAGGACTAACCTATCAGCTAGCTAATGCTTTTAATGATTTTCTGCATACCTACTGTTTTGAGATTTTCTTATGATATTCGATTGTTGCTTTTTATATTATTCACATGTTTGCAGAATCTTCTGGGTGGTGGATGTTTCAGCTATATATTATCATCTTTTTAGTAGTTAGTCGAAAGGAGATCCTTCAAGCTTAGGCAACTGGTGCTATCGTTAACAAACATTGTTCGTTAGCGGGGTAAATGCATACTGAGTTTGATCCTTTATTTTTTCCCTCCTTAGATTCTCAAAGGGTTAGAGTTGCTGTGCGACTTCGGCCAAAAAATACTGATGAAATTCTTTCAGATGCTGACTTTGCTGACCATGTTGAATTGCACCCGGAGGTAATAATAATTACCACTAATATGAAAATCAGGCCAGCCCTCAACCTTTTTCAAACAGAAATTCTTGCATCTCCTTCTATGATTGTCATGCATGTGGTTTATATGAATGGCATTCACCAAAAATTATTGTGTAGTTCAAGGACTTTCTTTTCAGAAAAAAGTTTGATTCTTTATTATTTCTTAATATTTTGGTTTGGGTCCGTGTAGCTGAAGCGGTTAAAGTTGAAAAAAACAACTGGAGTTTTGAGTCTTATAGATTTGATGAAGTTTTCACAGAAACTGCCTCTCAGAAGCGAGTTTATGAGGTTGTTGCCAAACCTGTAGTTGAGGTAAGTGACCATCACTATATCTGTTTGAATTATAATCAATGTTTTGATTTCACTGAAGATTATGCCACAAGTTTGACTCTTCATTTGCTTTTTTTTGGGGCCAAACGTCATTCTTCATTCTTAACTACGGTAGAAATGTTGATGTGTTTTTGCAGAGTGTATTGAGTGGATATAATGGGACAATTATGGCTTATGGTCAAACAGGTACTGGTAAAACTTACACGGTTGGAACATTGGGTAAAGACGATGCCTCAGAGCGTGGCATTATGGTTAGAGCTTTGGAAGACATAATTGCCAACACATCCGCATCTGATAGTGTTGAAGTTTCCTATTTACAGGTATTCAAACCTGACCAGAACGTTTGGCCTTTTAGGTAGTTGTGGAGCTGTGTGGTGGCTTCTGTTGAGTAATTGTGAGTAGCAGCTAGTTCTTTAGTTTCTGCAGAAGCATGGCCACACAATCTTTGAGTTATGAAAGTGCTATGGTATTTTGCAGTTTTTTCATAACTAAGTAAGTCATACTTTAGGTTCAAGATACATTATGATCAACTGAAAGAATGTGCTAAAATTTGGGATTTAAAAGTTTCATGCAATTTTAAAAGAGTAATAATAGTTTATTGATTTAAACTAATTATGATTTGGACTAATTTAAACCCAAAAAGATAGGATCAGATAAAGCCTAATTGAAAATAAATGAAAAATCCCTAACTTTTAAATAAAAATAATTACTAAACACAATAAATTTAATTAAGTTTTAAACTTTTCTATGTGCAGCTGAAGTCTTCAATTCACCATCAATAGGTCTAAAGGCACCTGAATTGATCTCTTAACAAAAAATGTCATGGATAGATGGGTTGAGTCAATCTATGGTTGCGAAAATTAGTAGTAGATTTAACACTATCGAATGGGGAAAAAGATGTAGCCATTGTTGAGAGTGAGGTGGCTCTTGAGCGTGTCATAGCTTACACGTGAGATTGTTAGAGTCGTAAAAAATATTCTTGGACTTAATTGCATCAACTCTTTGTTTTGGTGATTCTTTGACAGTGTATTAAATCTTATTAGACCCAGTGGTCTCCACTTTGATCCTTGTTGCCCATAATTTGGCTATTAAATTTCTTTTTCTAGTTTTATCTATATCAGTATCAAGTACTTGGGTAGCTCTTTACTGCATTTTACATTCAGTGTGTTGATTCATGATGAGACAGCCAATTTTTGGCTCTTGCTTAATGGTCTAAACACTTAGGTTGATCTTCCGCAAATTGGTGTCTCAATCTGAGATGTTGCCATCCGTTTTCTTTTTTAATTGGTTTTCCACTGAGGTTTTCAACATCGGGTCTGCTGCCCTAATTCCTGGTCACTTTTACCACCTCTGCTAATAAGATCCTAAGGGTGAGGCATTTTGTTTTAAACTCAACCTGCAGCTCTACCGTTGTTGAAGTTGCTAATATATATCAGTTTTTGACCACTCTTTAGTATTATCAATTTGCTATTTCGACAAATTAGATAGTTATGTTTATTTTATGGTATTCTTCCTTCCAGTTGTATATGGAGTCCATACATGATTTACTTGCTCCAGAGAAAGTGACATTTCTATACATGAAGACCCAAAGAGCGGTGAAGTGTCATTACCTGGTGTTGAAGTGGTTAAAGTTCAAGATCTTGATAGTTTCATGCAGTTACTTGAACTAGGTGAGGTAAATCGCCATGTAGCTAACACAAAGCTGAACACAGAATCCTCTCGGAGTCATGTGATTCTTATGGTGTGTATACAACTATCTATCTTTTTCCTTCGCTTGTATAATTCAGGATATTTGTTCGATAGTACAACAAATTTTGATTCTGTTTCTTCTTTATAGGGAATGTAAAACACTGAATGCTTAATGTCCCTTTGTATTTCAAGGTTCAAATTCGCAGATCTATTCTTGGGAAAAAGGTAGAGGACACTACTTGTCAAGATAAAAGCATCAGCAATGATCTTTATGTTGACAACAAGAAACCTATGATTCAGAAGAGCAAGTTGCTAATTGTGGATCTTGCAGGATCTGAAAGGATAGACAAATCTGGTTCGTCTAATTATTATTATTATTATTATTATTATTATTATTATTATTATATTTACTCATGACTGCTGTTCAAGATCTATTGCCAGGATGTGCTTGTATTATAATTTTGTTTTTCTCTGATCCTTTTAAGGGCCGTGCAATATGTTTTTGCTTGTCATTTTTGGACAAGATGCTATCTTTATTTTTTAATTTTAATATATTTGACCAGATTTTACTTCTAGATAAGATTATAAATTCATTATCATGTGCAGTTCCTAATCATAATGGTTTGTATGAAATATCCACTTAGATGCATTTCCTCTTGTTGTAGGAAGTGAAGGGCACTTGCTTGAAGAGGCTAAATTCATTAATCTTTCTCTCACTTCACTTGGAAAATGCATAAATGCATTGGCCGAAAAAAGCCCGCACATACCAACAAGAGAGTCCAAGCTTACAAGGCTACTTCGCGATTCATTTGGAGGTCATATTCATAATTTTTTGATTTCCTTTTTTGGCCCATATCTCCAAAGCTGCTAACTGTAACAGTTTGTAGCATCCGTGCTGATAATGCTTATGGTTTGTGCTAGCAAAAACAAGTTTATAAAAGATGAATGCTAACTTCCATACCTCAAGACATGAATATGTAACTTTTTTATAATGACAACATGGCATTCATTATCTCATGACTTTTGTATGACATAATTACATAGTGCATATAGTTTATTGTGCGATTCAAAGGCAGAGATGGCATATTTATCTTAAAACTTTTTTGCTTGCAATGTTCTTTGGCTCCCTTTGCTTGAAAAATGTATAAATGTATTAGCCGTATAGAAGCCCACAGGTGTCACACGGGAGTCCTATCTTCCAACTTTAATTCATGGTTCATTTCAAGGTCATCTGCATAACGTCTATTGTTCTTAAAGTAATTGTGGTTCCACCATCAGTTTTGTTCATAAAGTTTTTCTTTTAACAATTTTTACTCTTGGAAATAGGGTCTTCAAGGACTTTCTCTATTATAACAATTGGGCCTTCTGTGAAGTGCCATGCAGAGACTTCTGGCACAGTAATGTTCGGACAGCGAGTGAGTTAGTGATAATCTATTTATGGTTTCTAGACATTATATATTTTGCATTTTAACCTTGCTGCTACTGCACTTCCCCCCCCATCCTCACAATTGAGAGACTCATCTCTTTCTCTTGCATATCGTTATTACTATTTCATGCTATGGATTTTATTGTTTTCATTTGATTTTAGCATTGAATGCATATTTATGCTTTCTGCAATCTTTTTTGCCCTAGAGCGAGGCCTTCAAACTGTTTCCCAGATGATTCAATTTGTTTAGGATTGATTCAAATCAGAATGTACTGAGGGAATTTATTCTAATCCAAACAATTTAAGAAATTTAATAGTGGCTGATCATTATATTCTCATTTAATGGCAGTTTCTTGTTATTAAATTTGTATGGATAAGTTATAATAAATTTTACTTCAAGATTTTCGTCCAATAAAAAAAAAAAAAAGGTTAAGCAAGGTGGCAATAAATTCATAATTTCTGAGAATGATTTTGGTATGACTACCCGTAGGTTTTATTATAAATGGACTGCTACCTGGTTAGGGAATCTTGGGAACAGTTTATACCTTAAAAATAGGAAAAATGACAGAAAAATCCCTGCTGAATTTTGAAAAGACAAATAGGCTATGCTAACTACTCTTGTAATGGTTTTGACTATACTTGCAATGGTCTTATCACTCAAAGTATATCAAAATCACCTTTTTGTCATTTTGAAATTCAATGGGCATCTTTTTGTCATTTTCCCTTAAAATAATGCTTTCAAGTAGATGTTGCAATAGATTATTCTTAAGTATGCACAATAACCTAGAGCTTCATTCATGGACTTTCTTGTCTCATTTTGCAATTGTTTCTAGAATGTTCTGGGAGTCCATGAGCAGAATGTAATTTAGTTTTAAGGATGCAAGAATCCTGATTCCGAAAGACCCAAGTATAGAATTTTCATAGCAAGCTGGATTTTAAATTTTTTGTAATTCTTTTTAAATTTTTTCACTTTACTTTACCCGTTTTTCATGTTATTACATCATTTAATTTAGAGATCTCTTTTCAGTTAAGTGGTTGATGTTTGTCCTGTTTTGATTACATGAATATGATTTTAAATAAAGATATAATATCATTTTGTGACACTTGGAAGGGGGGATCAGTAGCGCAGTTAATATTCTGTGGCTGGTGTGACATGACAATACAGTAAAAGATGCGATGAGGGTGGCGTCATTAACCATGCCTTATCATCGTTTGTTAGCCCTTTTCAATTAGAGTGTATCTAATACGTGATCAATATGGACATGGGAAATGTTGATACTGCATCATATCAGCTACAATGAAGAGCTAATGGTTCTCAAGGTAGATAAATTTCCTCTCACAAGTTTTCTTGCATAATTGCAGGCAATGAAGATTGTGAACAAGGTAAAGCTCAGAGAAGAAGTTGATTATGAAGCTTTATGCCGTAAACTTGAAAATCAAGTGGACCTTCTTACTGCAGAAGTTGAAAGGCAACAGAAGTTGAGAGAAAATGAAAGACACATGTTGGACAAGCAGCTCAAAGAATGCCAAGGTGCTTTAATTGAAACAAAGAAAAGTCTGCTTACAAGGTCTGAGGTAGTTGTTTCTTCCTCTTGCAGTTTAAAAGGCCTTTGCACATAGAACACGTCAGGCTTTCAAGGCCATGGTTTTTCCAAGTTTCCTGTGTTTCAAATTTCCAATTTTCATATTAATTTTTGTCCTTTTGTAACCTTCAAATGCTGGCAGTTTCTACAAAAGGAAAACATGGATTTGAAAGGGGAATTAAAGGACATTTTAAGCGAACTTAAATGTCAGAAAGATCAAAATTGTTCGTTGCATGAAGTGGCTGCAAATCTGGAAAAGAAATATGAGGTATATCGTCTGTGAGGTCAAGCTTTTGTTCCTTTCCTAGTTCACTCTTGATCTGTGCCATTTCAGTTCTCAGTGATAATAACGTTTTACAATTTCAGAGCATTACATATATGTTCATTAACTGGATTGTTACCACTCTTGTCTTAACCCCAAATCAATTAAATCTTATGAGATACTTTAATACCTTTGAAGCACCCAAAGAAGTGGCGACTTTTGGACATCTCTTTTCTTCAGACCTCTGTAGTCGATATATTGAAGGTGGCTAATACAGTTTGATAAGAGAAAACTAAGGATTAAAAAACTTGGGAAAAAAGGAAAATTGTGGGGTAGTAGTTTTCTGGAAATTGATCCTTGTCAATGATTTTTCCATTTGGCCATTCCTAGGGTCTAGAAGTGCAAGGAATTAACTTATTGCTGTCCCTATTTCCGTCACAACTCATAGCATAGCCTACATAATGAGGAAAAGGACAGGGGATGGTAAAAACCTTATTGGATTCGTTGGAACCAGTATTGTGATCATCAGCCAAGATGATGTTTAAACTGTGCTTCCTGACTCGAAGACTCCTGTTCTTTGCTTTGGTACTTAAACCTGCCATATTTGAGGAGAACGCACTTCCTGGTTTCTCTAATCTAATTCTGTTTACATCATTCTTTCTTTAGAGCATCAAAATCAGGATACTAGCATATTTGCATCATTTTTAAGGGATTTATCTGAGTTACCATTGCTTAAGACATAAATAATGACCAAGTTCTGTCCAGAGCTAATTGATAAATTCTATTCATGAATGCATTGAGTACAATCTGGATTGTATAAAGCTTATACGTAACCCCCTCAGATACAAGTGTATGTACAAAATAAAACAACAGCAAACTCATTGAAAGGTAGAGGAAAAATACATAAAACAGAACACACGCTGCAGAGTAACAAGTCACGTGACTAAACTTTGAATCTTCAATGGTAGCATGGCCTTGCTACCTGATGTGGATGCTTTAACATTTCTCGACCGAAGCAATAACTTTATCCTTGCTGTAATGTTCTGTTTGTTCATAAGAGACATGTATCAATTATAATTTACTAGAGGACTATTTATGGATAAGTAAGAAATCTTTATAATCTAGGGCTACAGGCATCTTAAATTCACATGGAAAATGGGTGGAAAAAATTTCCCATTGTTAGTAGGCTCATGAGAACCATTATTCAAATCCCTGTTAAGCCCTACTTGCAAATTGAAAACCCTTATTGACAGGGCAAATTAAATGGCTAGTTAAGAGGTGTCTGCATCAAACTGTCTTTTTGGGGTGGAATTCTTACTTTCATGTCAATGGGTATTGATGATGTTTATTTGACCATAAGTAGCAACAACTCCGTGAAAATTCTGCAATTCAAGAAGTACTGGCAGAAACCACTCAGATGTATGAGAGGAAAATTGCAGAGTTGATTAAGCAGATTGAAGACAGGCATTCTTGTGATGAACACGCTGCAAAAGAACTAGATACGATACATAAGCTTCTAGATGATCATCAAAAGTCAATTCAGGTTTGTAATCAATAAACTAGTTTCAGAAATAGCTGATAATGTTGCTATGTATTGTCTCTATAAAAATGATATAAAAATTCTGTACCTTGTAGCTGGCAAATTTTTTGGGTTAAAGTATGTATTATGGTTGGTACACACACACACACACACACACACACACTATATACGTTCGTACATGGTTTATATGACTTTTTGGAATTAGTTTCAACATTGTGTTTTCTTGTAAGTCATTTCTTGCACAAATTTTGTTTGCAAATCTCCCATATTTCAGAACATAATGATAACATATTTCTAATACATTATATTTCCATACATTTCTTTTTATTCCTTTGTGAGAAGCAAAAAGAACTAGAGAACGCCGCATGTCAAAGGGCTCTGGCTGAAACCACTAAAATGCATGAGAAACAAGTAATGGAGCTAGTTAAACAGATAGAAGATGAGCACCGCCGATTTGAATGTGCACAGGAACAATTAGACTTGGCAAAGGGACTCCTAAGTGATCAGCAAGACTTAGCACAGGTGAACTTGGTCAATATTTTTACAACTTATTTATTTAACAACCTGTATTTCTTTTGGTACCTTGCCCTTTGTTATGACGAAGAATGATGTTAATTTTCTCTCAACCTGTCTGCCAGTTCCGGAAGCACAATGCATATTTACCACTTTTTAATTAGCTATACAGATTAAGGAGTTTTCATAGAGTATAGTCATTGCACTGTTGAGGACATTACCTGTGCTTTTCAGTGAATCTTATCTAATGGTGTTAACCCTGTTGCTACATTTCTTTTATAGGTTTTGAATAACCTTAAATTCATAACTTTTATGTGGTTTGTTGGTACTTTTATTTGTTTCAAGAACCAGAAGCAGGGAGAGATTGATGAACTTCGGGCGAGATTACAAGGAATGTCCCATTTACATGATGCTACTACAAATGAACTCCATTTGTTAAAATCAAAATATCAAAATCTATTAGAGAGGGAGGTAAGTGAAAATGGATTGGTCTGCTCGAGCTCTGCTTTCCTTAAAATGTTTTGGATCTACACCAGTGACTAGTGCGATCCATTTTATGAGCTTTATGACTATCTATTCTTTAAAGAAAAATTAAAAGCTATCAGTAATTAATTCTTGAAGGTTACACTGAATGAGGAACTTCATGCCATGAGGCAAAGACTCCTGACAGAAGAGGAGCAGAGAAAAGATGTTGAAAATGAGCTGTTTAAACTTAAGAAGAATGTGTCTGAAACTGAGAATGATATCAAGGCAATTTCTGTTATTTATTTTGATCTATGTTTTTATTGTATTGTTGATCTTGAAAATCTGGTTCTAATACCTTCTTATTTCTTTGAATTAGAAAGCTGTTTTGAAGGAAAGTAGCCAAAATACATTCAATGAAGCTTTGGAGCATGGATCCCCTGTGATGTCAAACAAGATTAAACCATCAAAGGAGACAATCTCTAGTCAGAAGGCTGCCATTGCAAAGATATGCAAAGAAGGCAAGAAATCTTTGGAGTTATTTCATTTGATGTTTGGAAAATAACCTATGTGTATATTATTGGTCTATTAATTTGCATGCTCTTTGGTGAGAAATATTCAGTGGGGTTTCAAAGAATATTAGAGTTATTGAAGTCTGAGGACTCGGATACCCAAATCCAAGCTCTAAAGGTGATAGCCAATCTGGCTGCTGAAGGTACAGGACATGAAATGATGCCATTCTCTCCTTTATCTCTTGATTAGAAATGGAGATTTATCATTGTTGCTCGCTGCATATGCTTTTTTATTTTAGTTTTCTTGCTAAGTTTTTGAGTTGGTTTTTCCTTGCATATCTTATTTTACTGAAAATTTCATTTGTTACTTGGATTGTTCAGCAAAAGAATTAGATATAATAAGAAACCATTAGAATTAGGTATAATGAAGTTGCATTAAGGGGGTGTTTGACAACCTCCAAACCATGGTTTCAGAAGCACTTTTTCACAAAACGAGGCAAACTCCTCCACATATTTATTTCGTAAACTATAAAAGCACTTCTGAAACTATGGTTTGGTTTCTATCCAAACACCCCTTAAAATTTTAAAATATTAATATAGATGTGATATGTGGTAATAGTAATAGTGAGGGCAATTAGGTAAATAATGAGAGGGGTAAGTCTATAAATAGGATATGAAATGATGTATTGGGGGTTGATTGAGTTGATATTTTACTGTTTAGTACATTTCTTTTCTCTACTGTTATCAATGGCATTAGACCCAGCCTTCTGGCTGCCACTGCTGTCGATGGTTGTCGGAAAATCGATCTTGCTGGCAATCACTGCATTGCTCCAAATGAAGGAAGAAGCAACTCTACTAGAGTATCAAGAGGAGTTTGAAACTCTTCTGTCATGCATACACTTATCAGAATCAACAGCCATCGACATCTTCATTAATGGACTCCATCCAGAGATCCAAGGAGTTGTTGCCTTCCTCACTCCAACCACTCTTGCCAATGCAATGTGTTTAGCTGATTTTCAAGATCGATATGGACCACACAATGGAGACCCTGACAATAAACACAAAATAGGTGAGCAAAAGGAGTTCAAGATTCTGAATGATGCTGTACTGGAAGGAATTGATGAAGCATCTGGTGAGATTTCTAATCTCGCCATTGCTGTTGCTGAAGACATGAGTGATGCACTTTTAGAAACAGAGGCTGTTGAGGATTTGAAGCTGAATGCAGCTGATTCAAACAAAAACATGCCATCTGAAAATGACGATGTTGCTATGGACGTGAGCGATCCAACTCTGGTCGATGAAACTGAGGCTAATGAAGTAGGAAAACATGAGATGGATGAGAAGATGGGAGCAGATTGAGAATCGACAAAATCAGAGCCTCTGCGAAGTCACAAAGGTGCCGATGTGCTTCGCTACCATGGTTTTCTCTATTTGCATCGTCGAAATTGCTGAGTGACTCAGGTGTTGAACTCCCGACCTCACCAAGGTGTGCACGATAACACACCTCCAATCCTTTCTGCTCGACTGTTTTCTCTGATGACCACTTCTCCATTCATTATTGGAACTAGTTTTTTCTGAGTCATTACGGTCGTCTTCGATTCTGGACCCTAAGTCTGACCCATTACTAGAATCACTTGGGATGAAGACCAAGCCTTAGCCGCCCTACTCGTTCATGATTAGTAGTTCGTTCTCAATGACTGCAAGAGCGCCGCTGTCTTCTACATTTCTGTCCTCCTCAGCATTGCAGCCATCTGTGTGCTATCAATCATTTTCAATCTCTCCAATTAAGGTGCCGAGTAATGCAAATGCGATGCCCAACTTCAATTCTGACTTAGCAATGCATAGCCATGATAATCCTAATCCTTGTCTTCCTCGACCATCACCTCACTCACCGAAGCTGTTCACATCATGGGTTCGACAATGGAGTCTCAACAACACCTCAACCATGAGGTGGTTGCATCATTCTAGCTTTTTCAAAGAGAATTCTTCTCCCTTTGGGTTTCAAATTTTGCTGGTGCAAGGATGGGAAAGTTGCGATGAACAGCATTGTATACCTCCTTCTCCACCGCAAGTATTCTTCTCCTCATTCATGCGAACTCCTCTATATTCATCGGAGCAATGCTTGTCACTGAGCAATTGCAAGGGTTCTGACCATATTGCTTGGAAAGTGATGTCGATTGATGATGGCAAGAAACGGATCTTCATGGATAGTGTTGGCTTTGCATTTGGGTCGGGTAGGGATGCTGTTGGAGGAGACGGGTCGGAAAAAGCTGTGCAAGTAATCATGGGCTTTGGAATATTGTTGGGAGTTACTGAATCTGTTCCCACAATGTGCGTTTGCGAGGATTGGCTCCAAAGGTGGTTAAGGTGGATGTCACGTGGCAGCAAGCAGAAACCTACTGAAAATGGGGTTGATCATGGTGGTGCCATACCCTATAATCTGGATACTGTTTGGGCCTTTAATGTATATGGATCCAAGGACTTGTGGATGGATGTTGGGTGCATAATATTTGTCGCAATGGGGATCATCACATGGTCTAATATGGAATGTGACGATGGGGCCTTTAGACTGAAGAAGATTGCAACATGGTTGGGTTTTGATGTCCACTAAATTTTTTTTAATTAAAAAAAAAAAGCCTTATCCTAAATCTCTGTTTTATTTTCTGCTTTTGTACTGATCCTTAAGGACAAGGATCTCTTGTTGGGGGCAGTATATTGATGTGGTAACAGTAATAGTGAGGGTAATTGGGTAAATAATGAGAGGGGTAGGTCTATAAATAGGATATGAAATGATGTATTGGGGGTTGATTGAGTTGATATTTTACTGTTTAGTACATTTCTCTTCTCTACTGTTATCAAGATGTAAGTGATGAATTCATTCTGTCTGAAGGGAGGTTCTATACTGACTTAAAGGGGAGTGATTCACGCAGAAAAAACTCACAGTTCAAGAACATTTTAATCCCTTCAAATTTCATGCTTGAAATGGCATTTATTGATTCAAAGCTTACTTTTAAGCTTAATCACACTGTAATGGACAAGCAAACCATTAAAAGTACTATGTAGTCAATGCTGATAAAATGCATATTGTGTGACTTCTCATTCATCATTCTAGTGTAATTTCAAATTAAATTAAAAGTTTGGCATCTTACTATTTTCCTTTTCTGACGAGCCATCAATATGTTGGTTGTAATCATCCATATCTACAATGATATAATGTTCCCCTTTTCCAGATATTAATCAGGAAAAAATTGTTGAAGAAGGAGGACTCGATGCATTGCTTACATTAATGGAATTATCGCAAAATTCAACAATTCTTCGAGTGGCTTCTGGGGCTATTGCCAATTTGGCTATGAATGGTAATTTTTAAGCTTTTTGATGTCTTTTTGATGTCTTGTTTGTGGTTAACTACGTTTTTTTTATTGCTAAATGTATCACCATTTTCTTGCTTTTTCAGTTTTTTTGGTTATACTTTTTCATAGTTTCATATATTAAAAAAAAATTAAGAAAAAATATGTTTTGGCTCGATGAAGAATTTTTCTGGATATAGGGTAACCATTTCTAAATTTTGTTTTAACTTCTTAAAACCAACAATGCTATTTGGCACTCAAAATGGACCTTCTCCCAAAATTTTTTTAAAAAAAGGTTCCATTGGAATTTTTCTAATGAAACAAGAAAAAGAAAATTTTGCTGTATAAAATTCCTCGGAGAAGTTTCCAAAGAATCTTCATCTTCCTACAAAAATGGAACCAACGGAAGTTTGCATTTTTGGAGAAAATTGTAATTCTCACGAGATTAGAAAAGGTTCATGATTTAGCCAAAGACATCTGTAATTGATACCCATTATTTAGTGATGTTGACTTATTAATATACATCTTGAATTTAGAGCTTAGTCAAGGTTTAATAGTGAGCAAAGGAGGTGCGAGGCTACTAGCGACGATAGCTTCAACAGTGGTTGATCCACAGACCCTAAGGATGGTTGCCGGGGCACTTGCTAATTTATGTGGAAATGGTATGTAGAAGTCGTCTCTAATGTTCCCGATGTGAAACTTTTACCTATCTGAGATTTTAAATACTCCCTTTAAAATGTAAAAGCAGCAGAGCGGTTTGCTTTGACCCTAAATGTAAAATTTCGATTTATTTTGTCTTTCAAATTTATAGTTTTTCCTCCCCCACCTGTCAAAAAAAATCTCTGCCTATTAAAATTGCACATTTTAAAGAAGTTTTCCATCGAGAGAGTAGTTTTCATTTTATAGTTTTTTGACCCTAAATGTAAAACTTTGATTCATTTTGTCTTTTAAATTTATAGTTTTCCCCCCTAAACTCTCTCTATTAATTGTACGTTTTAAAGAAGTTTCTATCAAGAGAATAGTCTTTGATGCTAATAATTAAAATGGGTACTCTTGAGAACATATATATTTTTTATAAATAGCTAACTAAACTAATTTTCGTAATATATGCAAATTAGCTATCTAATTCTTACATTTAGAATTAGGGGGAATACCTACATTTATAAATGTTGTCCTAGATGCCATTGGTAACTCATCTAACCCTCTGAAAGTAGATAACTAGTACCCTGCTAAATCCTCCCCCCCCCCCCCCCGGGTGTGTGCGGCACCGTGCATCAAATGGGTATATGCTTTAGACCCTTAGTTCTGATGTAGAGACTGTGAATGACAGAGAGGTTACATATGCTGCTGAACGAAGATGGAGGTATCAAAGCACTTGTGGAAATGGTCAGATGTGGGAATATTGATGTCATTGCGCAGGTTGCTAGGGGATTGGCTAACTTTGCAAAATGTGAATTTAGAGGAAGAGTTCAAGGTTTATGACTGATCTTAGTTTGTGGACCAAAACTGTTCCTTCTTTTGTTTCTGTAGTAACATCTACTTTGTGCAGGACAAGCAAAAGGCTGCTCACTATTAATGGAATATGATGCTCTTTCATGGTTGATTGCCAACTCTAGTACCTCTTCAGCTTCAACCCGGCGACACATTGAGCTTGCTTTATGTCATCTGGCACAAAATGGTGAGCTCCTTTCTCTTCAGGACAGTACTTAGTATGGAATTTTATGAAACAAATAATTCAACAAATACTCCTTTGGTACTAAATAATAGGAGCCGATTGCGGAGTTTGTTTTGATTCTAAATGCAAGATCTCAATTTGCTGTATTTCACAAATTTATAGTTCTTTTTCCAAACAAGTACATGCCAAAAGGGATTTTCATCAATGGGGATAGTTTTTAATGAAAATGATTAAATGAGATATTTTAGGAAAACCAACACACATTTATTATAAATAACTAGCTTAACTATTTTTTTTTTATCCGTATAAATTAGTTATCTAGTTCTTAATAGAAAGAATGATGAGTATTGGGGACCTATTGCTGTCATATTCAGTGTAAGTCGGAATTCAAAGACTGAACTTGGGCCTTCAGAAGCTTCATGTGGCAATGGTAGAGGATTCATCTATTTTTGTCTTTGAGTTGTATCGAAGAATCACTTCATGGTAGTAATTGTTTCCCCATGGGTAACTTATTAATACGTAACTATATATCTCTCTACATTACATTGGATTTAGTGTCCAACATTTCGGCTTGTTTGGATATGTTTCCATAAGAATTAGTGGTTTAAGTTTGCGTTCAGAATTCCAGTATTGTTTTGGAAGCCATTGTCAGAAACATTTTGTTTTGACTTGAAACAGAGGACAATGCCAAGGAGTTCATTTCCAAAGGTGGAGTGAAAGAGCTGGTTCGAATATCAGTACAGTCCACCAGAGAAGATATTCGAAATTTTGCACAACGAATACTCAGCTCAAATCCGATGTTTCGGGCAGAGATGAATGAACAACAGATTTATTATACATAATACTTTTTTTGAGTTTTTAAATTTTGCAATATGTATCATATTAGTATGGTGACTGACTTCTTGCCTTGTGTTGCACGGTTTATCAGTTGTGAGCGTCATTTTTTCTTTTTTCTTTTTTCTTTTTGGGGTAATAAGCAAAATTTTGTTCTCGATTAGTCTTGCAGAATTTCCATACCTAAAGCACCAATGCGTAAATTCCGGGTGAATTTAATACCTGGGGTGTCTTTTTACAGGGTTTTAGGCCACGATCCCAAAAAAAAAAATTCAATAATAAGTTGGGAGTTTTTATTTTTTTACAATGAAACTTGTTACTCCTCTGGTTCTTAATATAAGACTTATTTAACTAATTTGATTAGATTAAAGAAGCTAGATAAGTTAGTTAATTATAAGAAATGTGACACGTTAATGTCCCCTTTTTCTTTTCTACTTGATTATGGTTAAGGGAGTATCTATAAGGCTAATTTGGAAAAAACTGGTAAATATGAGAAATGAGTCATATATTTAGAACTAAAATTAACTTAACAATTGAGTTTTATATTAAGGATCAGAAGAGTATTATAAGTTGTTCGATTGGCTTTAAGATTTTTTAGTAATTACATTTTTTATTTAAAATTTTATAATAGTCTCCTTGTATAATTAACAAAAGTAGTGAAAGGGAGGTTCACTTCTTAACTTTTTTTAATTGCAATTATTTTTAAGAATCACTTGTATTAAATACTTTACCTTTTAACATAAATTTAATTATTCTTATAAAAGTCACTAAACTAACTAGTCATAATGAAAAACAAAAAGTCACAATAAGCGCGCGCGCGCGCACATATATATATATATATATATATTATATTTATACACGCACATATGACTACGATAGCTTGATGAATCCTTTTCTTGTACACTTAGAAAATCTTAGTTGACAAAGGCAAATAATATTTATTTACTTTTTCCTTATTTTCTTGACGAAACTTGTGCGTCACGTTTCAACATTGTTTGTCAATATTAGGTGAGAGATTTTTTTTTCCCCTTTGCCAAACAATGCCTACCTAGTAAGCTAGTTAAGATCTACCTCTCTAAATTTTAATGTATCAAGTTATTTGAGATATATTATGCAATAAACAATAAAAATGACATGATTTTAAAGATAAAATATCATTTTTATTATTTAAAAAATAACTAGTAATGATATTATATACAATACTTTTAATTATATTAATTTTAGGCCTCGTGAAAAAAATATTGTAACTACTTGTGGTTCAATGGTGGGAGTAATGTTAATTTTTCTTAGTAAAATTAAATCTCCATTCTCCGTATATTTAGGCCGATTAATGCTAGAAATATGACATGAAATGTCATACTTATTATAAAGGTCAACCGTTGAAATCATTATTACTCCTTCCCTTTTGTAAGTAATTCTTTCTGTATTTTTTTTATAAACAACATCATTTACAAGTTGTTTTAAATTTTTATAACAAATTATCTATTTTATCCTCATTAATTACTTATTTTAATACTCAATATATTTATTATCTTATGTCCCAAACTATTATTTCTCCATTACACATTCTCTCTCTTCCATAGTTCTATTTATTATAATAATTTTTTTATTTTTTTTATACTCTCTTCCCATAAGGGTATTTCAGAAGAAGAATTTGTAATTTTTACATATTTATTATCTGTAACCAATTTTAACTAATATTTTGATTTACGTGATGAGCTCTAATGTTACTTATAAAAAAAAGACGGAGGGAGTATGTAATTAAAAACATTATCCTAGGAATTAAAATGTAAAAACAAAAAACTAAACCATCAATCGATTTATCACATTAAATTATCAAACAAATTTAAGGGACCAAATGAATGAATATTGAACCCATCATCAAATAACTTAACGACGAGCTGACTAAGATATTAATGATCATGGTGGCATGCTACCGATCACAGCTTACTTCACGTATTCTAAGTTCCTAACGTGAAGTTCCCCGAACCATATCTTCCACTTCGCACGTTACACAGCAAGAAGGACAAAAATCCACTTCCTAATTCCATCGTGCATTTCCATCTGTGCGTCTCCCACTTCCACCGATTAAAAGATGATCAACTTTGCTGACATTTTTATAACTTATCTCACTCCTTCCATACGGTACTGTGTCTCTCCGTTTTCAGCTACCTTCGCTTGGCCATCTTTATGGCTTCTGCTACTATCTCATACCTCCCCTCAACCTTATCTGATGGCAATTTTCACCGGAGGAGTAATTTCGCGTTTTCGCGGTTTAGTTCTTCCGTCATTCATTTTCCGGTTTATACTGGTTTTCGCAATTCGAAGCCCAAAGGGTACTCTTCTGTGAGGTAATTTTCTAAAAATATTCGGTCTTTTTGCCATGCTTGCTTGCTTGCTTGACAGGGATTGATGGAATGTATAGGTTAGTCTGCATTAGGTGATATCTGATGTTTTCTTAGGTGCTTCAAGCTACTGACGATGACATTATTTTAATTTTCTCTGATGAGATCTCTGTGTGTGTGTCTGTGTGTTCTTTCCCCACCCACCCCCCCTTTATAGACTGGAAGAGATCGTTTTCCATACTTAAAAAAAAAAAAAAAATCCTTTCTCCACTTTTTCGTTTCTTAATTTTATGACCCCTTATTTATTTGGTTCGTGCCTTCGTGGACTGCTAGTTGCCTGGTGTCTGATTCTGAAACTACAATGGAAAATTTCAAAAGTCTTTGCTTGTACTCTGTTTACTGGAAAAATGGAAACTAAATTGGGAAATTTCAAATGATTATCACATAACATGATTGTTAATTATATCACACCTTTTATTCCATACGCAGTCTCACTGCCTTCAGTTTTCTACGTTTGGTCGTCACCATGGCTTCTGCTATCTCAAAGCTCTCTTCCACCTTATCAAGGACTGTTAGTTGCCTGGTTGCTGAATTTTAAACTAAAGTGGGAAGTTTTAAAAACCTAGGCTTTTACACTCTTTAAAGGAAAACAAGTGGGTTTAAGAAAATGAACCAGGGCATGAGACAATTATATGCCTATACTAAGATGTGAGGAAAATGAGATAGGAAAAACACTGTAAACCAACAAGCCAACAACACAATCGCCAGCAGTTTCTTACTTTAAGAGATTTTATTTTCATTCATGTTCATATTTTTCTCCTTTTTAAGCTGATTAGGTGAACGTTCTGTGGCCTATGTTCTTCTATAAATTGCGGCTTTTATGTTCAAAATTAAATAAATAATTTCAGAGCAACATTCTTCATAAATGTTTACACCTTCCTTCAGTCAGGTTTTTCTGTTTTTTGTTGAAAGTTAAAATTGACCTACATTTGAGCCATGTATTTGCTGTAACATGTGTATTATAATAATTTAGATGTCAGTCAATTGATGCTGATGAGAGGAAGTCAAATAGAAATCTTCTAGATAATGCGAGCAACCTACTTACCCAACTTTTGAGTGGGGGGGCCATTGGGTCCATGCCTACTGCTGAAGGTGCAGTCTCAGATCTGTTTGGCCGGCCTCTCTTTTTTTCACTATATGATTGGTTCTTGGAGGTACTTTCTACTTATCCTTTTTGTAAACATATGCCTTGTGTCAGATACTAATTTTTTAATTCAAATGTTTTTATTTTCCACTTTATCTTGCCCCTTTCCTTTTCACTTTTCTGGCCTTTCAATTTTGGAAATTTTAAGGAGCTGAATTTCAGTGACAGGCCAGCAGAAACTATCCAACCATGATATAGTGTTTGACTATTACGGTTTCTAGCCTTGGCTGTAGTGATTCCCCTTCTGCCACCATTTAATCATGTTCAAGTCCTCTTAGATTTGAGGGTACTTCAGTGTTGTGGTTGTTCTGGGATATTGGAATTAGCAAAACGATTGATGGTTTAAACTTCTGAACTATTGTGCTAGTAAAAACTTGTAAAAGATAATTCCATTTGATTTTCTTTTGTTTGAATCTGCTTATTTCTACATTTGTCTATCCTCTGATGATTTTGTCGAACATGGCAGCATGGTGCTGTGTATAAACTTGCATTCGGGCCAAAAGCATTTGTTGTTGTATCAGATCCCATAGTTGCAAGACATATTCTGCGAGAAAATGCATTTTGTTATGACAAGGTACCATCTTCCTTGTAGCATTCTCCTTTTTTTTTAAAAAAAAAAAAAAAATTATCGAGAAGTTGTGATCTGGCTTGAACAATTCCCATGTTTTGTTGCGTCCTTGGTGCTTTAAGGGTTGTTTGTATTATTGTATATTCTGACTGAAAGGCATAGCTTTTGAGTGAATTTCTCCTCCATTGCTATACATTCATGTGAAACCTGAAAAGGAGAATATGTTGAAGTACAACACATTTTTGTCTGATTTGATTTCTGATTGAAACTGAACATAAGTTCGCATTAAATAACTCCCTTTTTTGAGTGTAATTATCTGAGCTTGGCAGCTTGCCAAGCGAGTATTTTTTCTCTTCAGCTGTGCATAATTAAAAAGCTGCTAGGCTTGCCTCTTTTCTGCGAGAAAACTATGTCTGGTATTTGTGTGGCCAATAAATCTTGATGAATTTTCTATGCTCCGAGAAACTACCTGGTCAATTCACATTGTAACTAAGAACCTTTCTGATATAAAGTCCTCTTGACCATTTTTAAACCCTCTGTTCATCATTTTGGTCAATCTTCAAACTTCCTCTTCATCCTTTTTGTTCTTTTCTCAGATAAGTATGTTCTGATATTTTCACCCTCAGTCCTCTTCTTGTGGGTATCTGCAAATTAATTCATGGGGTTTCAATCTAAGTTCATACATCCTAAACCAGGAATCTGGATGATGCCGTGTAAAAGCAGGATGGACTTTTTAAGGGGAAAATATTATGAACAAAAAGCTGCCAAACTGGATGTAAACATGTGACAGGATGATTTTCAGGATGATCAAAGTCCTATTCCATTGGATTAGTTATTTTGTTGTTCAGAAAACAAAAAACATTTGAGAATTATTTATGTTTAGTTCTATTTCTGGTTTGCAAAATAAAATAGGGAGTACTTGCTGATATCTTGGAACCAATAATGGGCAAAGGACTCATACCTGCAGATCTTGATACTTGGAAGCAAAGGAGAAGAGGTGCTGAAACAGCATTTGTTATATCTTTGTCATTTATTCTTCTGTTTTGTTTTCTCTTTGATTCTGCAACTCAACTTTTGATTGAAAATTAAGGTACCTTGACATTAACTGAAGTAGGATAGCGAGAGGATAGGAATTTAGTATGAAGAAAGTGATATTTTATAGGTGAATTAGGGATGGAATGATGCTTATTTTAATGCATATTAAGGAAGATCATATGGTGGTTCAGCTATTTTTGTTAGCCTACTATACTGCCATGCGAGCCCCAAAAGAGTCGCCTAAGACCCTTGAATTTGTAGGGTGTGTTTGGATTGGCGTTTGGCAAAACTGACTTCTAGTCTAACTAACTTTTGTAACTGAAGTTAGAGTAAAAGTCAGTTAATGTAATGCGATTTATGTTTGGATAGGTGCTTATAAAAAGTCAGTTGGAAATGTTAAAAGTTGTTTGGATGATTAAATAGAAAAGTGAGTTCAGTTATAAAAATCTATGGGAAAGCATAAAACTGCAGTTTGAAATGGAAAAGTCATATTTTCCTCCGTTGAGTTCAACTGAGGTTGAAGGCCAGAAGTTGGTTGGGCTTTTAGCTCCATCCAAACAACCATTTGGTCTTAAATAAGGCACAAACTGCAGTTTTATGTTTTCCCATAGACTTTTTTCATTCCAAACGGTAATCCAAACATACTCGTAATGTGTCCTACTCGCTACATAAGTTCTCAAATATAATTACTAAATCAGTAAATGCTGCTTAGTGCTGTTGGCTTTCATATTCTAATAGACTTCAGTGTTCAGTTGGGTTAAAACAATGATGACCTTTTGAAATCTGAGTAATGCTTCACATCTGTGGCTTCTATAGCTTATTTTTCCCCTGATAATTTTGTCGACCATTTTGTGACTTACCTCCCTGAGATCCTTTTTGTTTATTTCTATTAAATTTGCAGTCATTGCTCCTGGTTTTCATGCTTCATATCTGGAAGCTATGATCAAAGTGTTCACAACTTGTTCAGAAAGAACAGTGTCAAAATTCCATAAACTTCTTGAAACAGCAGAAAGCAATAATGAATGGAAGTCAATTGAATTGGATCTCGAAGCAGAGTTTTCTAGTTTAGCTCTTGATATTATTGGGCTTGGTGTTTTCAACTATGACTTTGGTTCTGTCACTAAAGAGTCTCCTGTCATAAAGGTTTGTCTAAACGATTATGCATTTCAAATATATCATTAATTTTCTTTGCTTGTAATCGAGGGCATGCATGCTACTTTTGTACCTTTTGTTTTGCCTAATGTGACCCAGTTACATATTCAACTATTTGCTGTGTTTGCATATTAGTTGCTCGTCAAAATTTAAACTGTCTGCTTACCCAAAAGTAAAAAAGAAAAAGAATAATTCTATTGTCTATGTATTAGGTGTTGAGATGCATTGCCGAAGCAGTCTTATGCTTCTTTTAGTAAAGAAAAGAGTGTAATGATACATTTGAAGAATATGCTTTGATGCCTTATTTATCTGAATTTTGTTGGGCCCCTCTCATAGTAGCACCATTATAAGTCTTGCCAAAGTGTTGCTTCTAAATCTGTTAACAACCCAACGTTTCTGATCATCAACCCTTCAGGTGCATCTATGTTTTGCTTCTCAATCTTCACTACATGGGTCGAACGTGAGTGTCTTGAAGAAGATACTTTCCCGAATCTCCTTTTTGAATAATTCCCTTGGTGCGATCAAGAGCTTAGACTGCAAATTTCTTGACAGTAAAACCATCAAACAGATACTGAACACTAGGGGAAAAAACTCTTGAGAAAAAGTGGTGTCATTATTATACTTCTGTTGTTGTTTTTTTTTTTGTGCAGTTTGAAAATTAGGATTGAATTCAAGTTATGTGATGTTAGTGCTCTAGTACCATGTTGAAAAAAATAAGAAGCATGAAAGTTAACTGGAAAATTCAGTTGGAAAGAGCAAGAAAAATTGATTTTTTCCCCTCTCGGGTGGGAGTTATGCCAAATATAAGTATGTATATTTATCAAGAATATAGTTCCAGATATTTATTAAACCAATATGATTAAAAAAAATCACAGGAGAAAAATAATATAAAAATTATGGGATTCATAAAATCAACAAAAGAAATATAGTCAAAGAAATCAAATAGTAAATAATTTTGTATCAATATTTTATTCATTTTACAAAACTTATTTTCTGTAGCAATATACGAGAAGATTATATCTTTAGGAGAACGCTAATGAGATTTGGGGGGAAAAAACAACAGGGGCAAATGGATATATTTAAGAGAGGCAGATTAAGTTTTTTAAAGAAAACATAACAGTATATACATATATAATACGAATATCTTGTGCTAGGGTGGACGATTGCCCCCAGAGGGTAACATGTAGGACAGGGAGACTATCGTTGGAATGAACCAAATTATACATATTCATATGGATAATTGAGTTATGTAATGACTGTTTGTTACATTGCTTGCAACAACTATTTATACTACACTATAAATAGCTATACAAAGTAACTGACACTTCTACCAATTAAAAACCACATTGCCCAAGTTGCTGGTAGCATTCTTGGGTAGTGATATATACTTCATACTAACCATTCTCGTTTGATCATTTCCTCTCCTACTCTTTCTATCCGTAAGTTTCTTCTCTCACTCAGTGTCGGACTAAAATGAAAGACACTTAAAATAACACCATTGTATATTTTACATCTGGGCTTCAACATGTAATCTGTTACTGCTTTTTGCCCATTGAATGATTGTTTATATTTCAAAATTATAGACCATGTTGAGAATTCTTTTGAATGCTTGATTTTTCTATTTGATAGTTTTATATCCATCAAGCATGTTTATTTTTTGAAGCCATTGATCTGGGGAGTTATTGGACCATCTACTTTAAAATATGTTATAGGCAGTCTATGGCACTCTTTTTGAAGCTGAGCATAGATCCACTTTCTACATTCCATATTGGAAAATTCCATTGGCTAGCTGGATAGTCCCAAGGCAAAGAAAGTTTCAGAGTGATCTGAAGATTATTAACAGCTGCCTTGACGGGCTTATCAGAAATGCGAAAGAGAGCAGACAGGTAGGAGAGTACTATTGAGTTTCAATTCATCATTGTTGTGTATGTATTTGAGATCTATTGCGTGGAGTTGACACTCACGTGCTTTCATTGTGGTCGTTTGCATTATAATACCAGTATCTCTATTATTTAACTACTTTAATAGTCTGTGTGCGCTGCATTGATAGGAGAGACTTATCATGCAACTTTGTATATCTTTTGTCCTAGAAGCTTGGACCCACACCAAATTGTTGCTGTTGAACTTCTTTTCTTTTGATCTATGTATTTCCTGATTATCTGTATCTTCTCTGGCAGGAAACAGATGTTGAAAAACTGCAACAAAGGGACTACTTAAATTTGAAGGTGCCTGTATATCTTTGCTGAGTACCATACCTATCTGTAAAATGTTAAACTTTCTACATAAATTCATTGCAAATTCATTGAATTGTTACTGAAAAAAGAAATTTGCAACAGGATGCAAGTCTTTTGCGTTTCCTAGTTGATATGCGCGGAGCTGATGTTGATGATAGGCAGGTATTTCTCTTCCAAACCTATTATACTCTACCAAGAACTGTTGATAAAGTTGCTATCATTCAAAGACCCAACGGCTGTCTATTTTAGGTCAACTTCTATGATTCTCTGAGCTCATGAAGAAAATTATATCCTTTTTTTTTTTTTCAATGCTCTGCAATCATTTATATCTTTCAGATTCTGGGCTCATAATTTCTTGAATACCTCTAACCAGGGTTACTCCTTTTCACCTACAAGGCTTTCCTAGACTCTTATACCTCTCACCAAATTTTCTCAAGCTTATAAAGCTTGCAACTGATACCCAAATTGATGACAAAAAAACAAAGAACAGTAGTGAACTGAACCATAGACTAAGGATTTGAGCATTTTCAGTTACTCTTGACAATGTCCTCGATAAACATTGAAACACTTAGCCACAATATCTTTGATTGTGGCTTCCTTAATAATAAAACTAACTAACGAAAACTAAAAAACTTGCTCATAATACCAAACTATGGCAGTGTCAACGCCAAAAACTCGATAACCAAAAGGTACCTTCACAAATTTGAATTTCATACGAGGATGTTAAAACCTCATGAAATATATCATCAAACAAATGGCATAGCTGAAGTTGGTGCCTTCACAAATTTAAATTTCAGAAATTCTGAATGCCTATTAGCTGGCTAAATATTTTGTTCATTAAATGAGTAGCCAATCAGTTTGTTGGACCAACTGAATATACTGAGAAATCTGATGTTGGATGTTTCCCTAAGACTCGACATCTACATTTTCTGTAATACGTTGTGGGACTTGATTTAGACGATGTCTTGACAAGTCCCTTATGTGTCTGCATGTCGAGAAAGATGAGAAGGCTTCTTGGCCTCTTGGACCCATATTGGTGTGCTGTTACCTTTGAGGTGTCCCTGTGAATCAAAATATGTCTGCTTATCCTTCCTTCTGTTCTCTTTGACAGCTAAGGGATGACTTAATGACAATGCTCATTGCTGGTCATGAGACCACAGCTGCAGTTCTGACATGGGCATGTTTCCTGCTAGCGCAAGTATGTTTACCTCAGGCAGATGTTAGGCATTGCATATTGTTTATGATGGACAATTTTAGTAGTTTCATGGCTTCTTTTTCATCAGAACATATTCTCTCTGGTACCCATCTTGACCAACTTGCTAATTGCAGAATACGAGTAAAATGAAGAAGGCTCAAGCAGAGGTGGATTCAGTGCTGGGCGATGGAAGACCAACTCTTGAATCACTTAAAAACCTACAGTAGGTTCCAAGGTCCAATCACCTGTTTTGATTAACTGTTAAAAGTTTGATGTCCATTATTTTATTCAAGAAAAAAATTCAAAAATTATGAAACATTATTAACGATTATTTTTCCCAAGAAAAAGAAAAAACAGCATATCCACATACTGGATAAAGAATAATAGTGCTTAAGGGCAGTTATTCATTCATTATGTGGATTTACTACTTATTAGTATAGAGGATTTTGATTAGTGTTTCAAGTGCTGGAAGAATTGGTAATAATACTAACCTGCTGGATGAGATATGGTAGGCTTCTGCTGTCAATCATAATTGACTTTGTTTCTCTTTCTATACCTTTTAAATGACTTTAAAAAATTATAGTTGATCGGTTTCTTAAGTGGCAATTTACATTTTCTTATCTTTGAGGGTTTTGTATTGGTTACAATTTCTACATCTGGACTTATGTTCCTCAATAGGGCTCTCTCTTTTCCTTTTTACCCGGGGGGGTTGCCATACCATTGGAATAGTGTTTACCTCTTGGGCATGGCTGAAACAGGGCAAGTTAGCTTGCCAAATTTGTTATGCCTAAACATGGAAGCATCGGCACTGAACAATTCATGCTTTTGTGCTCCCAGTACAGTTTGTTGACATATGGCGCATGCTTTCAGGTACATTAGACTTATTGTCATAGAGGCTCTTCGATTGTATCCCCAACCTCCTTTGCTGATTAGACGCTCTCTCAAGTCAGATGTGTTACCCGGTATTGCTCTTCGTTGAACCCCTCATCTCATGAAAATGGGACGTCTCTGTTGTGGAGCAAACACGAATAGAAAAGGAAAATAACCAAACTTTCAGCTTCAAAGCTTAAAATCAAATAATAATAATTGGGGTGACTGTAATTTACTGAGCCAATGCTCTGGAGACGACTATGTTGAAGTAGCATAAAGCCAGAGCTCATGTTGAAGATAATTCGTATGCCTATCCCATGAAAGTAGATCTTGAAGATGCGGACCTTAAACGCCTTCCAAAGCCACTGCACGCATCCCGTGTGATACAGCTTCAAAGCACCTTTTGTCATTCTGCTTATAAAGTCTCTGGATGTATAAAGAGTTCTGGTCCAGGAAGACAAACCCATTGTCATGTAAAAAGTTTGCTCCAGAGCTGCCTATAGCCCAAAATCAATTTCTACATCCATCCTACACTCGCTAGTTTTTTTTTCCTTTCTTCTTTTTTGATTGTTTCTCAATAGTCCGTGAGGATTTATTTCTCTTTACAGGAGGATACAAAGGAGCTAAAGATGGTTATGCCATTCCAGCTGGGACCGATCTCTTCATATCTGTGAGTACGGATTTTTTGACGGCTGAAATGCATGGATTTTTTTTGGTTTAGTGCCCTATCATGTTTTACAGGAGCATGCATTATTCTGTTCTGTAGATTAGAATCGTATTTACTTTAATTTATCAACACCATGGAAGCCCGTATTGTAATTATTAATTAGGGATTCAAGACTTCTTATGTTAGAGATTACAACTTTTGAATTTAAATTTAAATTTAAATTCTGTTGATTGCTTAAATATGGGGGGACGATCACAATGATATAACATACATATACCCGTCCATGCGTGCATGCATGGCCTGTATATGTGGGTGCGGAGACACCCCTATAACTTGGTTGTGCAACATGTTCATTTCCCGTGTTGATGATAGTGTAGATGCTCAAAGATTCCCTAATGCAGGTATATAACCTCCATAGATCTCCATACTTTTGGGACTCTCCTCATGAATTCGAGCCAGAGAGATTTTTGGTGCAAAGAAAGAATGAAGAAATTGAAGGATGGGCTGGCTTTGATCCATCCAGAAGTCCTGGAACCTTGTATCCAAATGAGGTTGCTTCTAATCCCATGCTTTATCGAAAGCTTAAATACATATTTTTGGCATTATGGAATTGGAAGTCACATTTTAGTCCCTATTGAGTTAGTGTTCATCATTAAGAAATAATGTGATTTCACACGGTTACTCATCATTTAGCAGGCTCATTTGGCCCAAATCAAATTTATAAGCAAGTTAAGAGCAACATCATTTCTTGTTATCACTGGAACAAAACTAACTTGAAAAGACTTCTTTTAATGTCGGAGAACATTAGAGAAACTAAAGTGTATTTAATTTTCTCATTGAAGCATGATTTATTCTGGAATGTAATTGGGCAATATGTGCACTTTGATCAGATTATGTCAGATTTTGCTTTCTTGCCGTTTGGGGGAGGACCTAGAAAATGCGTTGGAGACCAATTTGCTCTCATGGAGTCCACTGTAGCTCTGGCTATGTTGCTGCAAAATTTTGATGTGGAATTAAAGGGGAATCCTGAATCGGTGGAACTAGTTACTGGGGCAACCATCCACACAAAAAATGGGTTGTGGTGCAGACTGAGGAAAAGATCTCACTCGCATCATTGACATTCTTGACGGTGAGCATTATTATGAATGTTGTTGTATATCATTCTTCTTTCCTGTATTAAAGAAGACGAAAACATAGGCACTTATACAGTTTAAAGAATTCTCAAGTACCTTACCGCTTTGCCATTGAACCTTTTTACGTATAGCACAAAGCAAAACAGGAACAATTCGTAGTTCAGTAAAAGAAACAGAGTGATGCTCTGCATTTACAAACCAACTCTTTTCTTTTTAATTTTTATAAAATATGTGATCCCTTATTTAAATATTTTTTATTTAGTCAACAATCTTGTAGCCTAATGGCATAAATGCTCTCTTATGAATAGGAAGTTATGGGTTTGATTCTACTTATAATCTCATATTATTATTGTTAAACCTTCTAATCCAGGGAAAAAAATTAGAAAGAATTTCTATTTAGGATGTCTTAATTGCAATGGAAAAGAATTAGTGGCAACAATTATTAACCCAAAAAAAATTGTTATAGGGGGAAATTCTAATAAAATGACACTCAAATTTGCAAAACCCCAAATGATCACTTAAACTTGCAAAATTCTAAATTAGTCATAATAACTAAATTGCAATTATGAAATGTGTTGTCCTTTAATTTTCCCCAAAAAAAAAAAAAATCAAGCCACCTCTGGTGGTCGGTGGCTAGCACTAGAGCTTAGGTGGTTGTTGGTCACCGAAGCTTTGATGACTGACAACTATTTTTAGGATTCAATAATATGGTTAACAAATTTTTTAAGGTTATTTACAATTTTATTAACGCCATTAAGTATTAACCACATGTTTCTCAGGTTTTTGAATTAGAAATTGTGCAATATTTATGACATAATTAACAAATCTTATAACGATATTTATAACTTTAATAACACTATCAATCATGTATTTTTCAGGTTTTTATAAATTAAGATTTTTCTCAAGTTTCATTACATGATTAACAAATCTTGTGATGATATTTACAACTTCATTAATGTTGTTAACCACATGTTTTTCATGTTATGGAAGTTGAAAAAACTCCAATTTAAAAACTTGAAAAACATGTGATTAACATCGTTAAAGAAGTTGTGAATATTATTATAAGAGTTGTTAATCATGTTATGAATGTTGAAAAAAAATTTAGTTTAAAAACCTGAAAAACATGGTTAATAATGTTAATAAAGTTGTGTATATTGTTACAAGAGTTATTAATTACGTTATAAAAATTGAAAAAAAATTTCATAAATAGTTGTTGATTGTGTGGAGCTTTAGTGACTGATGGCTACTGAACTTTGGTGCTATAGCTTTGATTGCCGGTTAACCGTGAGTTGGCTTGACGGCTTTAAAAAAAAAAAATACACATTTCAAAATTTCAATTTAGTTATTATGACTAATTTGGGATTTTAAAAATTTAAGTGACTATTTGGGGTTTTGCGAATTTAAGCCTCATTTCATTAGAATTTTCCCTTGTTATAAGTTGCCCCAAAATTACCCTCTATAAAAGAATGTCTAGAATTTTCAAACTATATATAGGGGGAAAAAATTAAGGAAAAATCACATAAAAAAACCCTTAAAATAGTAAAATAGCGAAATGGACACCAAAATAAAGAAAATTGTTTGGAGAGATAGATCTTAAATTACAATTATCAAATCAAGCTTAAAAAGCCAAAAAAAAAAAAAAAAATCTTTTTTCCTTCTTCTCTTTTAAGGCTTTTTTATCTAGATACGACAAACAGTAAAAAAAAAATTACCCAGATGCTATAAAATCAAAAATATTTACTCAGATACTACACCTTAAATCGTTCAGATGGTGAATGAGTTTAAATTTGTACAAAAGCCATTCAGGTCAAGGAGTTTAATGGGACCCACATCACAAAACAATAAAAGTTGTTGTTGGTTTGAACAATTTCAGTGGGATTCACATCACAAAATGAAAGTTGTTCTTGGTTTGATCAACTTCAGTGGGACCCACATCACAAAATGAAAGTTGTTTTTGATCTGAACAATTTCACTGGAACCCACTATACACATTTGTCTTACACTCCATGCGGGTTCCATGCGTTTTTAGCTTTTTTATTTTTGACCAAACTATACTTCTACCTTTTTAAGCCACATGCAAAGTGCTCCTTCCTTCCCCAAATATTCCCATCAATATAGAGCAGGCATTCATTGTCTCTCATGTGCGAGTACTTTGTTTTGGCATGTGAGTGTATGGTATGAATTCTGTTTATATAAGGCATTCGACAATCCCACTCATCAGAAGCCTTCTTCTCACTTAACAGAGTGAAAGGGGCTTTTATTTTGCATGTTTTGGGCTTTACAATCGGATCCAGCTTTGTGTTACTTGGGGAATTTTTACCAAAACGTTGCAAACAAGAAAAAAAAATTCTTCAAATGCTACATAGTGGGAATTATTTCCCCAAATACAACATTTAAAGTTGTTCTTGGCTTGAACAACTTTAAAAGTTCATCTTAATAAGAACAGTTTCTTTAATGAACGTTGGTTCCCATGTAGCTGAACTTCATCTTGGCTTGAACAACTTTTAAAGTTTATCTTAGTAAGAACAATTTCTCTACTAAATCTTATTTTCCGTCCGGCTGAAATTCATCTTGGTGTGAACAACTTTTAAATTTCATCAGCATTTGAACAACTTCTTCACAATCTCTCACCATATAAATATTCCTACAAGGATGTTAATAATGATCATATCATTAGAATAATGAGTTAATAATTATATAATGATAATAGTAATAATTAATATTAAATTAATTAAAAAGTGATTAAAGAAAATAAGTAATGATTAGATGTTATAAAATTAATAACAAATAACAATTAAGTTGACATGAACAAAAATAAGAATTAATTTACCTCACAAATAATGACTCCCAATGCCATATCTTGGTCTCCTCTGCACACGCTATGGTCATTGTTGTATATTTACTTCTTGAATTTGATCTAATGTCTCATTTGTCTGCTTAGTTAGCGTATTTAAATCAAACCAACGTGATTCGATTAAAAAAATTGATTGTCGAGAGGTGATAAATGCCTCATTTGATGGGCCACCTTGCTTAAAAGAAGAAATGTTATATTGATCGATAAATAATGCAGGATCATCAAATAAGGACATAAATGACTGAAATTGAGGAGGATTGGTGAGTCGAAATGGGATAATGTCGATGATGATGGCATGTGATAAGGGTAAAATTGAGTTGGATTGGAAGAGGTGATAGGGCTTGATAAGACTGGTATGTTATTGGAATGACTAAAATTTTGAGGCTTTTGTTCACTTAAATTTTCATTTACAATTAGTGGTAGAGTAGACAAGTAACCACCTCGCTATTTGCTTGGTCTATCTCAAGGAATTTGTGGACGAGGCAGCTCAACTATTTGTGGAGCTGGTTGAGAATTTATATTAAATCGTTGTTCTCTAACTACGAGTAAGATGTTATGCTGGTCTCAAGCAACTCTTTCTCGATAATCAATGCAATCAGAGTATGTTGAATGACAATTAATTGTTAACCTATATAACTGTTCTGTTTTGTCAGCCTGAAATAAATAAAACATTAGGTTTGGAAAAATTTTCATATAAAAAAAATGATGATATTGATCTGAAAAAACTAAAAAAACCTTACCACATAGCCAGTGCCACCACTAACACGTTAGATCCATCGTCTTGTATGTCTCCAATACCATTGCATGTACTTAGATGTTCGATCAAGTTCACCAAGTGCCAGAGGAGCATCAACAACAGCATTTGGGCATCTATTCCATGCTTTAATGAAGTTTGAGTATTGTCCAGTCCAATTTGTGGTTATTCTACCACGTAGCTGTATTATATGGTAATTTCCTAAATGAACAGGCATGATAGGAATAGGTTGTTGACGACTAAATTGCCTTAGTACACGATCAGGGTGATGTCATTCTATAATATGAAAACATATTAGAGGAACTGGAACAAGCCAAATTTTAGGTGTTGCCAAGCAATATTCTAGAATCAATTGACGCACTTCAGAAGATTCATATGGCTGTCAAATGATGTCGTCATCGGTCATTCTATTAAGGAGACTCCTATATTGGCGTAAAGACGTGACACTTGGACGAGGATTTTGTCCTATATTTTTCCATCTAGCATTATCAACAACAAAAAAAGTAGTGTTAAAATTTGTAAAATTTTGATAATAAGTACATATGAAATGTTTGTTGTGTAATTTCGACATATCTGAAACCCAAAGGAGGTAAGAGAGGGTAGATATTAGAATGTGAATTTGGAGATACAGGTTGTTGTAGTGCTAGCATAGGAAAATGATCCCATGCCCATAAATGTAATAATGATAAGCACCCTCCAATCCTATCTTCAGTTAGATTAGTAGCATTATATAATTCTCTGTACAGGTGAGCTAAAACTGCTGAACCCCAACTAAAATTTCCAACTTCTTCTAGATTATAAAGTAGTGGAAGGTACATCAAATACACCCTAGTACATGATCTATCTGGCATGAGATATCTGCCAATCAACCTGAGAATATATGCACGAGTAAATTGTTGAACTTGTACATCGTTTGCATCATCGGGTAAGTGATTAAAGTGATCTTCCAACCAATTCATAAGTAGTCATTGTCCGAGTATTCTATCTACAGGTGGTCTAACCCCTAGAAGCCATTCACAAACATCTTGCCAATTAAAGTCAATTTTTCCAATGACAGGCATTCCTACACAAGGAAGACTTAACTGTATAGCAATATCCTCTAACGTTATCGTGCACTCTTCACATGTAGTATGAAATATGTGAGTCTCAGGACGCCACCTCTCAACAAGGGCTGAGACCAAACTCCAGTCGTAATCAAATTGCCACGCAACACCATAAAATCCAGGTAATCTAAGATATTCAATTATTTGATTGGGTGGCTTAATCATTCGATTAAAATGCATGACTCATCTAGTGTGTAGGATTCGAGAAACCTATAGAGAAAAAAAAAAGAGTTAGTATTAAAGCATAGAATTAAGAAGCATTAGTTAAGATAGATTACTTTCATTTTCATTCTAAACTTGTTGCGAAATATGTTGAGCTTCTAAGTACAAAAGTGAGTCATCCTCTAGACCAGGGTTAATGACTTCTTCTAGATATTGTGCCATTTTCAAATATTTAAACACAACATAACAAATAAATATTCGCATAATATAAAAAATTACAAAAACCATTTACATTTCATCTTTATACATATAATTTTCTTTTTACGTAAGCAAAATACACAATTTATTGTCTGGATGCCATACTTTGGGAACAAGTAGAGCGATTATGACCAATTTCTCTACATAATCCACATTTGTTGGGTGGGTTGGGTGTGGTCCAATTCATCTCATTACGTATGCAACTTGAACGAGGACGGCCTTTATCTCTAATCATTGATGGATCAGGTATTGGAGTAGGGCAATCAATTTACGGCCAGTAAGTCTCATCTCCTATTGGATGAAAGTTGTTACTGTAAGCCATTTGCATGGTTTCTAACCTAAAAACAGGATCAACATATTGCAAATGGTTAATGCCTACTTGTGAGCAAGCTGCAACAGCATGCAAACATAGAAACTTTTCTACTTGAAATTCTCCACAATTACATTTTCTATCAATCAAGTTAAACTTGCAACAACGATGAAATTGACGAAGTTGAATATTGTATGGTTCTATAACCTTAAATGATGTTGATATTCCATCAAACTCTCCAACAACACATGCAGATGCACCTTGTGTTATTATGTCTAACTTCTTTGTTAGTATCTCAGAAAACACTTGACTAGCTATAATTTGTGCATAAATTTGTTGGGCACGCTTTACAAAATAGTTATTAACTCTATACATGGTCGCCTTAACTAAACCAGTTATTGGTAGACTTTGAACATCTTTGAATACACCATTCATGTACTCTGCAAGGTTAGTTTGTTGGAAATTGTGCCCTAGGGGCCAATCATTTTGCTATGAACATTGTTGATTTATGAATTTATTAATTACGTTATCATATTGTTTGCATGTTTACTGTGATGACTATCCTTGGATAACTCATGGTTTATCCTAAATGTCCCTGGTCGGTCATCTATGTGGGAGCAGAGATGAAATAAGACCAGTATGACTTTAAAGATATATAGAGATATAAATTAAAGTCATAGGCACATGTAAGAGTACAAGGTGTTGGACCGACCCGCTATAAGAGAGCTGCATGGGTTAAATCATAAGCTTCTCTCATATACAAACCATGTCACTGTGCCCTTTGACCTGAGATCATCATGGATTCTTACATGAGAAAAGCTCAGCGTTGACCTAGTCAAAAGTCACTTTTGACCGAGTGATCATAAAGACTATGTTCAGGCTTAGTGGTTTTTCATGCGAAGGAATATGAATGGTCAAGATGGAATTTGTCCCTCACATTCGTAGAGAGATATTACTGGGCCCCTCAATGAGTGAGTCTGAGAAATGTATGGCCATACTATAATGGAAAGGTAGTTCCATTTCTATATTCAGACTACTCAGGGATCGAGAAAGTAACGGTCATGAATAGGAGGATGACGTTCTCCATGCCTCATCCATGACCAAAATGTCGTGTGACAAAAGGGATGTGATATGGTTGTATGAAAGGTTGCATCGTTCAATGATCCTCATATGTTTTGGGTAGTCGTGATGTCTTGCTAGAGACCGCTTACGACTTGTGAGTCATTATAGTTAATGGCCCACTGCCAACTTCATATGGGCCTACAGGGTCGCACACAAAATAGCCCAACACGAGTTATGATGTCCAGATTCATTGAATCTAAGATATGTCCAGATTCAATGAATAATATAGGGTGGGCGTGTATATATATATATAAATTCGTATATATATATATTATATAAATATAAGAGATATTAATTGTTAGATTTAATTTATAAGGATAAATTAGATCTATGTAAATTAATTCCGTCATATCTTTATTTTTGAATTAAATAAATAGGTGAATTAAATCTGTGAGACGGATTTAATATAAATCGTATTTATTTAATTGTTCTCTTATCTGATTATGCAATATTTGATATTGTATTAATTTCAGAATTAATTTAGAATTAATTTCGAAATTAAATATCATTCATAATACCTATAGCATCCTATATATTTCATATTAGGGAGCTATGGTTTGAGTGAGTGAGAGTGAAAGCACTTGCAGATAAGAGACGGCCAAAAGAGAGAAGGGAGGACGGATTTTTGAAAACCCTAGACGGACAAAGACGCTAGCACGTCGTTCGAGATTGAAGGCTATTCGTGTGGATACCGGTAGAGGAAGCCGACCGGAGTTGTCGACTTCGAACGACAAAGGAGGCGAGCAGAGGCATCCTGAATGGCGTAATCACCGAATCACCAAGAAATTGAATACCGAAGGTAATGCTTCTTACTACTTGACTTAAACACGATCGGTAGATCCGGGCAAGGGATTGAAAGTTTTAAAATTTAGTTTCCGCTGCGTGTCGTCTTTCAATCCCCTTCATAGTTGTCATGTGTCCATGATGTTGACCTTCAACAACATATGCACGTGACTATTTTTCTTTGGGGATAGCTCTAATCCATCTAGCAGCAAATGCATGTTGCAATACTATCTCTGCTAATTATTGGTCAACAACATGACGTTCATACGCATACTCTACAAGTAGTTACTAACTTGTTAAAAATAATTATAAAATTATAAAGTTACAATATTATTTTAAAAAAAACACAAGAAATCTCACCAATATTTATAAATTTCTCTTTTAGCCAATTTGTTCCATGTGCTTTGTGAAGATTAGAGGCCACATGATGTAGACAAAAAACATGACGTGCATGTGTGGCTGCTATCCATGTTAAGGATCAGAAACTACAGCCAAAATTGAACGATGTCTATCTGAAATTAAACAAATTTCTATTCTATCTTTTACAATGCAATGACGCATATGGTATGAGAACCATGTCCAAGCTGATCTTGTCTCTCCTTCAACTACTGCAAATGCAAGCGGCACAACATTTCTGTCACCATCTTGTGATATAGTCATCAGTAACGTGCCCTTATACTTTCCATATAAAAATGTTTCGTCAACTTGTATAATGGGCTTTAAGTGTGGAAAGGCATCAATGCACGGCTTAAATGCCCAAAAGACATGGCGAAACATTTCAACTGGTTCCCCATTCGCATTAACTTGAGAGCACTGTTTATTTGAAAATTGTACATTTGATCCGGGCATGAAGCATTGTACTGCAGCCAACCACCTTAGGTGTAAGGAATATGAGATCTCCCAATTCCCAAAAGCAACGGCAACGGCTAATTGTTTTGCATTCCAAGCCTTCTTATATGACACTATATAACCAAACATGGATTGCATCCTCTCTATAATTTGAGATACTTCCACATCTAACTTGTCAGTTACCATTGCTATGATACAAGATGATATAACATCAGCATCTAACTTTGGATGGTCTTGAGTTAGTGATGTGCTTAAGCATGTGCGGGGCCCCCCATGTTTTATAATATGCTAAAAGTTTCTATTTTCCTTCTTACAAGCTCTTACTCTCCAATTGCAACTTTTACAATAGTTAATGCATTGATATTCTTCATACTTTTTACATGAATAATAGACCTTGAATGTGTGATGAACTCGAACAGAGTGTAACTTGATCGCACGTCTCAAAACATGAACATTATTAAACATCTTTCTGATATGTAACTCTTTAGTATGATTGAAAGGTAGAATTTCTTCTAATTCATTGAACTCAGGAGCCATAGCTGACTAAACATTAATATGCGAGAAGCAAGTAGATGTTAGCTCATTATCCTAGTTGATCTCATCATGCTCATCATTGTCATTATGATCATTCCCATCACCAATATTTAAATAAGAATCATATTCATCTTCGTTCTCAAATTCATCCATAGTATCTTTCATTTGGGGAACAGAGCAAGATGGCCCATTGTTGATACCATCTTGGGGAAGTTCAAATGGGTAAAGATTTTCCATCTGATCACTAAACATGGATTCTTCTTCTATAATGTTCAGCTGATTGCTACTTGATGGAAGAGTATTTCCAGCATTGTTGTCCATTAGTTGTGATTCAATATGACCAACATCTTCCAAGTCACCTATATTAGCATACAACTCTGCACATGTTAACTAAGTTGATAATCGACAGCTCACTTGCCACATTTGTTGTACATCCAAATCATCTTCTAGATTGCATGCTTGGTATTATGGTGGCTTTTTGCACGTAGGATATATTTACACTAGATTTGTCACAATTTCAATGAGAGGAAGTTATAGCTTTCATCCAATAACTTCTTTCAATCTACCCAATGTAATATTTGGATCAACTTTCACTACTTTTTCTCTATCACACTCAAATGTTGCATCAACCGGGCCACTAAAAATTTGACCATTTGCAAATATACACACAAACTCTTTTCTATATTCCATTCTACTTCCTAAATAATACATTATAATTATTAATTGAACAAAAATGAATTGTAAAACTAAATTAACTCCATAATATCATTATTTTTTAATTCAATTATGTATATATTTTTTAAAAGAAAGTAGTAGAATAATCATTTACTTACATTTACAAAAACTAGGCTATTTATTAAGAAACTTATTTACATTTTTAAGTAAGATAGTAACCTGTAATATCTTTTAATGAACAACGACAGTGGAACATCTATCATTAAAAAAATTTAGAATAAACTAAAAAAATTAAGTTAAATTAAAAATAAATGTTATATATTAAAATCGTATTATAAATTCTAATATATAAATATAGAATTAATAATTTAAATTACATGTTTTAAATATATTAAATAAATAATTTTCTATTCATTCCATTTTATTCAAAAAAATATTATAATTAAATATTATAAAAAATGAGCTAAAATCATTGCTTCTACTTCATTATCAGAAAGGATCTTAAAAATTATAAGTATTTAAAAGGATTACATATATTTAAAAATATTAAATTCTCCCACAACTACATTTCCAAATTTTCTCTAACTTATGTTTCATTATTGGATATTTTTAATGACTAAATTAGATAAATATTTGATTAAATAAATTAATTTGAAAATATGAGTTGCTTATTCCAAAAAATTGCCTCTACTTCATTTTTCTCCTGGTCCCAACTTTATATTATAAATGTTCAATTTTAATTTATCTATATTAAAGAATAATTATATTCCTTTCAGCCTCTAATTTTTATATTGTGAATAAAGGCTTCTGATGAAATATATATTTTGGTTAACACATAAAGGTAAATTTACATTGGATAATAATGAGTTTATAATAAATGCACTTGTGTAATTTTATATTAGGTACCGTTTAAGTGACCCAAAAAAGCATCCACATGATTGAAAATAAAAATGAATGTTAATAACTATTTCACACTAGTTATTTAAAAATTATAATTACTTAATATGACAAAACAATTAGCTATTACTGTTGAGTAATTTTTTTTAATTTATATTTTATTATTTGGTCTGCCTAAATAATTATAATTTTTAAGATCCTCTTTAATAAATATTGCTTTCTCTAGGTCCTCCTCTCTAATTTTCCCAAAAAAAATCCTTTCTTTCATTATTATTAACCCCACTATCAGTACTCTTTTTATCAGGAAAATTTTGGCACCATTTAGTGTTAGTTTTCATTGGCTAGATACAAGACCAGACTAAGCTCACAATCAAGATTGTCAAACTCACGAGTTTAAGTAAACTCGTGACAGGTATGTAAACTCAAATTTATAAAATTCATACATAAAGTCACTATGCATAATCAAATAATAAAATAATTATAAATTTAATAAAAATTATAATTTAGACCACTGATTTGGATTTTCAATATTTTAAAGGTTTTTATAGTTAAATAATTTATTAATTTAACTGTCTTCTTCGCATGCTTTGATATAAATATTTCAATTTTTTATATAAATATTTTACGTAATTTCAACAAAAATAATTTTATCGTTGTATATTAAAATTTTATGAGTTGTGAATATTATTCCATCAATTTTTCTTTAAATATTCAAGTATTTTTCATGACATACTGACTGGTATAGGAGAAGTTTGATTACCATGCTCAACCAAATATTATCTAACTAAATACATATTTAATTTGACTACATATTTACTCAAACGCTATCTACTAAAAAAAAGATATATATTTAATCAGATTATAAAAAAGTAAACTGTAATTTATTTTATATGACAATTAATTATATGTCTACATATTTTAATTAAAACAAACTCAACATGTAAAAATGATTAAATATAAAATTCTTATCCATCATTTAGCAAAATACATATCCAAAATTTAAAAAAAAAATTAATCAAGAGAATGTACCTTAGTCAGAAGAAAAATTAAGCTTCAAGTTAAAATAAAATGTATACAATATTTGCAAGGCCGCACACCCTACCAACTTCACACGAAACTGTGGAAGGAGAAAGAAGAATTGAAGGAGCTACAGATAAAACGTATTCAATTCTTCACATGAATGCCTTATATATAGAGAAAGAAGAATTGAATTATACAAAGAATTAAAGTTGAGATAAAACGTATTCACCTACTTCACGCGAATGCCTTGTATATAGAGAAAGAAGAATTTGAGAAGTGAGGAGAAGGCTTTTGATGAGTGGGAATACCGAATGCCTTATATAAACAGAATTCATACTATACGCTCACATGCCAAAACAAAGTACTCACATGTGAGAGACAATGAATGACTACTCTATATTGATGCAAATATTTGGGGAAGGAAGGAGCACTTTGCATGTGGCTAGAAAAGGCAGAAGTATAGTCTGGTCAAAAATAAAAAAGTTGAAAACCCATGAAACCCTTTTGGAGTGTAAAACAAATGCATATAGTGGGTCCCAGTGAAGTTGTTCAGACCAAGAACAACTTTCATTTTATGATGTGGGTCCCACTAAAGTTGTTCAGACCAAGAACAACTTTTATTTTGTAATGTGTATCCCACTGAACTCGTTCTTGGCCTTAACGATTTTTGTGCAAATTTTAACCCGTTCACCGTTTGAATGATTTCAAGTGTAATATCTAAGTAAATATTTTTAATCTTATAGCATCTGAGTAATTTTTTTTACTGTTTGTCATATTGGATAAAAAAGCCTCTCTTTTAACTTCCTCTCCCTATCTTATTCTCTCTTTTTACTCCTCTTCCTCCTCTCCTTCCTCTTCCTTCTCCTTCTCCCCTCCCCCTTGTTCTTACGCCACCATACCAATTTTATCCCTCCTCCTCCACTTCTTCTATTTCACGGCAGCTATTACAACGAGGATTGAAGCATTCACAGTGGCAAACTCGGGATCTTCTCTCGTGGCCTGTTCAGTGAAGGTGAACTTCAAATCTCCACTGTCGGTGTGTTACACACCAGTTCGAGTGCTCAAGCTTCTATGGTTTGCAATTTATGTTCACCCATCAACAACAATTTTGATTCCGATTTCCATTGTCATTTACACGATCTCAAATGATTTTGATGTTGTGGTTGTGGTGCTGTGATTGATTCTAGGACCTAGGTTGGTGTTTGATTTTGGTGGTGGTATTGTTTTGTTTAATTTTGATTTGTTCAAATGGTGTGCCTGATGACATGCCAAGTATGAAGCAATTGGTGATGTATTTGGAAGGAGAAGCAGAATTGCCAGAGTTTGAAAAAAAACAGATGGAGCGAATGAAACTTGTGAAGGGTTTGATGAGTTCTTATTCAATTCGTTTGCATCTCTCTACTGGACAGAGAGAGATAGATGGTACTTATTTTGCTTCTTTTAATACTAATTCACCTCTTTCTCTTCTCCATGCTAGAGGAGAAACAAGGTGATGATCATCGATGATAGATTCTTGGTATTGTATTGAGATTTCTAGTCTTTTTTTTATTTGAATTCATTTGTTGTAGAGAGAACGCTTTGGTGATGGTGCTGATTTTAATCAAAGACTCAAAGTTGTAAACAACCTATGATAGATTTTTAGTTTGGGCTCTTGAGACTAAGAGATGATGTACTTACTGAGGGAAGAATTTTGATCATTTTTATGCTTTGTTCATAGAATGATACTAGACAGCTAGTTCATGATTAAGGAGTATTATTTTCATGATTTAGTTTTCAATAATAAGTTTAGTATGAGAAATAATAAGTGTTGAAAAATTATTCACAATAATTTAAGTTTTAACAGAAATTATCATTATTTTCATAATTTAGTTACCAATGACAAATTTAGTATGAAAATAGCAATTATTAAAAAACTATTCTCAATAACTTAAGTTTTCGTAGAAGTTGTTATTATTTCTACAATTTAGTTGGCAATGACAGGTTTTCCATGCCAAATTACAACAATATTATTTGCCAATGACAAAAAAATCAGTATGTGCTTAACAGTAATCATGTTTTGC